TCCAAAATGTAAATCTTATTTTATATGAGCTCTAAAATCATCTTTTTTTTCTTTAGACCCATCTCTTCTTTCCAGAGCCAACTTTAGCATCTCTTAGATAGTCCCTTCTTCCTTTATTATCTTCCCCTGAATTGCACTCATCTTCTGGACCACATTCTCCCTTACCATCTTTGCTACAGCCTCAGAAAGTGTCCATTCAATGCTCTATATCTTCTTAAATAGCATCATACATGATGTAGTTTCTGAGATCTTCATCTTCCCTTCTCCCAACCATCAAAAACTAACAATTTAGTACTACTTGGGTGTTTTCGTCCAGTATCTGTGTTAGAGGTGAAAATGTATTTTTTGTTGCTGTGGTCATGATGGTGGTATGTTCAATGTTTTCTTATCTCAGTGTCTTGCCTATTTGAATAATGCCTTTGGAATAATTTCTATGAGAAAATTCGACAGAAAACACAGAAGATTTACAACCAGTTTTTTCCTCACTCAATGGAAATGAAAAGTAAAAGCACACACTGGGCCATAGAAAGTGATTTTTTTAAAGAAATAGATTCGAGATTTTAGTAAAGTTTGAGAAGAAAGAAAAGAGAAAATCATTAAAATTTTCACATAACCATCTGTACCCCAAATATCTATTGTTTATGATTATTGCTCTCCACTTTATAAAACCAAGGATATAATTGTGACAGGATGAAATAGATAGACATTATAAATGATTTAAGAGTAAAAAAGGATTCTGCTTTTGCTTATTAGGTTAATTATTTGTTTTTTAATTTGTATTTGAAAAATAGTTCATGTCAAAGGAGTTCTAGAGTTTACTAAAGACAAAAGTTTTTTTTAATTCACTAAAAATAAGGATGGAAATAAGGTTTTATTAACATAAAGTTGTGAAGCTGAATAAAAATCTCTAATAAATCAGGAAGTAAGACATTTAAAGATAATGAAGGGATAAAAGTTTGGGGTTTGGGAGGTGAGAGAAGGACAAGGAGAACTTGAGACAGAAGAACAACCGAGTATGCATTAGAAAAAAGAGAATTTGAGAACATAGGAGAGGAACTACCCCATTGTTTGTCCATATTTTTTTTAATGAACAAATAACATTTGCACAAGGGTCCCTTTGTCTTTATCCCATGAGTTCTGTGGATCAGAGCTCTGTTCCCACAGCTCTATAAGACTACCTAACAAAGTTCTGTGCCTTCCCTGAGAAGACTGCTTCCCTGGGCTGGCCAGATGAGATGCTTCTCCTGGGGATGTCTTGGCTTAGCTTTGCATTCTTGGCTTCTCCAATCACCTGATAATGCTGCCTCTCAGTAATACAATCAATAATACAATCTCCCTGACCTATTTCTTCTGCAGTTTCAGGGATAATCTTCCTCTTTTTCTTTTTCTCAGAGTAAATAGAAATATCAGTCTTCCAGTAGTGATTAAATGTGAGTGCTGTGAGCTGGGGAGAAAAAAACAGTACTTGAGAGAGATAAACAAGAAGTAAGGCCTTAAGTGTTTTACTGTCTTCTCCATCCAAGTATCCCGGGATTCTGTCTTTTATATTAAAAATTTTAATAAATGTCATTTTTTGTGATGTTTTATCTTCTACACGTAAATATTTTGTAACTAATTCTAGGTCATAAAAGGAGCGTTTCATTCTCAGACTTTCATAGAAAGACATGATGATAATAATGACTTGCATTTATTGAGCATGTGCCATGACACATGCCCTTTGCTAACACATGACATCTTTAGTCTCATTTATTCTTCCCTACAACTCTATGAGAGGTTCACTATCATTCTGAACATTCTGAACAAAGACACTTAGAGATTAAGCAACACAGTTAGTAGATGGTAGAACTGTGACTCAAATTCGAACAATTTGGTCACTAATATAGACGAGAAAGGGATGAAATAAAAGACAGGAAAAGAGAAGAAAGTAGAAGGAGCATGTTGAAATAAGTGAAGTCTATTTGAGTGATTCTTAATAATGTGGAAATTTGAACTCTATAAAAAAACTCAGCAGTAATTGTATTTGGTTTAGAAGCTTAAACAAGCTGGGCTCAGTGGCTCAGGCTGTAATCCCGCACCTTGGGAGGCTGAGGTGAGTGGATTGCCTGAGCCCAAGGGTTCGAGACCCGCCTGGGCAACTTGGTGAGACCTCATCTCTACAGTAAATCAAAAAAATTAGCCGGGTGTGTTAGCACGTGCCTGAAGTTCCAGCTACTTGGGAGGCTGAGGCGGAAGGATCTCCGGAGCCCAGCAGGTCGAGGCTGCGGTGACCGGGAGCGGCCACTGCACTCCAGTCTGGGCGACAGAGTGAGACTCCAACTCAAAAAAAAAAAAAAAAAAGCTTAAACAATAAACTCTAATATTTTAGCCAGCAGTTCCGGTAAAATTATAGGATTTTTGCTGGCATTTTTTTAACTAAATTATCTCAGCTTCTTAATTTATATTTTAAAAAAAATGACGCTAATGCCTGCTCCTTCACGCCTCAATTATTTCATATTATATGTAAACATGCTTTGAGGAAAATAGAGAACTGATATAACCTATGTTTGATTTTCAAAAGCTTTCTGAGCACATTGGCTTAGTTATGTTTATCAAAGGAATGCCTTGTGATTTTTGTAATAAGTTGAAAAGTAATGGCCAAATTTGTAGTAAGAAGATAATAAAACTTTCCTACCACAGAGAGCAATTGTCAAGATCCTATCACCTGGAGCACAATATTGGTAGTGGCAGTAGTGGAAATAAATTAGAGCTAGTTCAGATAATAGATGTGTCAAGTCAATCTGGTCAACCACTTCCAAGCAAAAAGATAGCTCAGTTACCTTTGACTTTGTATTGAATACATAAGGAGATATTCACCAGGAAAATACCCAGCATTCAGTATTCAGTGTTCACAACGGAGGGAGTTACTAAGCGTGTATAGTTTACCAATGTTAACTCTGATTAATCAAGTCCCGCATAATTGTCTGACATCAGCCTAAACTTATGAACTACAAAAGGCTCTAACTCAATAGTTTTCATTTAATAATTTCTGTGTCATAGCTAATGATAACGATTAAATTATTTAACCATTAAAAGCATAGAGATCATAAAATAATATTGTAAATAAAAGAAAATACATGCATACTTCTAGCATAGAGCTCTCTTCTTAATATATATTAATAATAATAATAACAATAAATTTTTGATGAGTAATTGTTGTGTGCCAAGTCTTGTTTTAAACACCTGATACTCTTTTAGCCTTGTGCTTATAGAGGCAGATATTATTATCCTTTTGTTACATAAAAGAAAACTGAGGTAAAGAAGTATTATATAATAGTGTAAAAGTAGGTTATTCAATTAGTGAATAACTCTCTAAGAAAAGTGCTAAACCAGGAGGTGAGATTAACATTCTTTTTTTTGTTTTTGGTTTTTTGGTTTTTTTTTTTTGAGTTGGAGTCTCACTCCATCACCCAGACTGGAGTGCAGTGGCCGCTCCCGACCACCGCACCCTCGACCTGCTGGGCTCCGGCAATCCTTCTGCCTCAGCCTTCCGAGCTGCTGGACCTACAGGCACGCGCTACCACATCCGAGTAATTTTTTTTGATTTATTGTAGAGATGAGGCCTTGCCAAGTTGCCCAGGCAGGTCTCGAACCCGTGGGTTCAGGCAATTCACTCACCTCAGCCTCCCAAAGCATGGGATTACAGGCTGAACCACCAAGCCCGGCCCGAGATTAATATTCTAAACATGGTACTACCCTTCACATATTTGAATTATTATTCTTTGCTTTGAGAACCAATGAGATAAGAAATAAAACAAATGCAAATGTATGAAAATCTATGCCGCTAAAATAACATCATCACTTCAAAGTAATCACTCTGAGTCATCTATGTACAGATCCCAGTCATGCAGATTACACCTATTATATAGCTGCCCTTTGAATTCTCTTGTTAATTGTGGCATGTTTTTTTGGGACTTCCCAATGGTGTGAAATCTTACTCCTTTGAGGAAAGTCAGCAAACTTTTTCTGCTAAGGGCCAGATAGAAAGTAATTTTGGCCTTGCAAGTCATATGGTCTATGTGGGGATGACTCACTTCTGCTATGGTAGTGCAAAAGTCACAAAAAAATAGGTAAATAAATTGACATGGTTTTGTTCCAATTAAATTTAATAGGCAAAAACAGAGACTATATTTAGTTTATTCTTTAAAGGTAAATTTATGGTTGTTGCTATTGTTTTGGCAAGAAGCTATTAAAGTCATTCAAAGGTAGGTAAATACTGAGGTTAAAATCTATCTATCTATCTATGGGGGGTTATAAGACATTACTATTGATTTTTTCTGTGTGACTCAAAAACAGTCTTTTTAAGAAAATACTAATAAGAGATTTCAAAAAAAAAACTATTGGAAGTGCATAATCTCTCAAGGTGACCAATTTGTGGGAGAAAAGACATATTTTTAATATTTAATGGACTGCATTGTGATTAATCTAGAAATCAAGACCTTTGATTTCAAATCCTTAAAAGTTTTTGGAATGCCTTCTTTTTATTTTGTGCGTATACTCCAAATGCAAGCTTTCCACCATTTAGCTTAACCTTTTTACTATTCATTATAGGAAAATGATTAAAGCAATTATTTGTTTTTGTTGCAGTTTACAAGTATAAATATAAAATAGTGACGCATTTCCCATAATGGGTGCATTAGCTGAAATGCCATTAGTGTTTAGAGGAATTCTGTCTTGTGATGTACAAAGGAGGATATTCTTTCCAGTTTCAGCTGCTAAATTGCGCATGCGTCTTGATAGGTCAGTCAGTGATGATATAATCTCTTCATGGGAACAATGTTTTTGCTGTAGTGACTTAACTTTCACTGCAGAGAGCAAGATGGTTGTAATTTTTTTTCTCATGGATACAAATAATTTTCTGTTGCTTCAGTGATCCAAGAAATGTCAGATTTTATCAGGCAGTTCATGTACTTCTGTTTTATGTTCACTAGAAAGATTACAAGTTTTCATCTTTCTTTTTCCAGGGACAGATGCAGCTGTGAGTCCAGTGGTTGGAATTCACCTTCATACTCCAAGTTCTGAGCTGTGTCCTGCTCCGTGTTTTGGCACCTTAGGCCCCCCACCTCCATACGAAGCCGGTTTCAGATCTGGATCATGAATTTAAAGTATTAGAAACATTTATAATTTAAAAACATCAAATTTGGGGATGATTTCTTTTACTTAGTGGAAATTCTCAGAGATATATTATTATAGTCTGAAGGACAAATAGGCAAAAGAATGAATGTAGAGAAAAGACTAGGAGATAAGTTTGGTCAAGTTAGATATCTATTGTCAGCCAAGTGAAGATGTCAGTTGTTTTGTTCAACAAACTTGTCAGCTGAAGATCACACGTCATCTGCCATTGTTTTCTTTTTGCTCAGGCAAAAGAACTGAAAGCCATCCTTGAATCCTCTCTCTGTGTTACTCCCAACACTCATTTTGTCAGAAAACCTTGCTGATACTACTTTCAAAATATATTTCGATTCTGAACAGTTTTTACCTACCATATCTGTGGTATAAGCCACTCACTTGTCAGTTCTTGCCTGGATTCTGGCAGTAGCATCTAAATTCATCCATTTGCTCCCGTGTTTGCCTTACTGTATTCTGTTTAAACGTAGCTACTAGAGTAATTTTTTTTCCAGTGGACTGTTTTTTAGAGCAGTTTTAAGTCCCCAGCAATATTGAGCAGATAGTACATTTCCCATGAACCCCCTGACCCCAAACACATATAACCTTCCCTATTGTCCACGTTCCCCACCAGAGGGGTGCTTTTTGCCAAAATTGATGAGCCTACATTGACACATCATCATCACTCAAAGCCCATGGCTTATGTTAAGGTTCCTCCTTGGTGTTATACATTCTTTGGATCTGACAAATTTGAAATGGCCTGTATCCACCATTATAGTATCATCCAAAGTAGTTTCACTGCCCCTAAAACTCCTCTGTGCTCTACCTATTCGATCCTCCCTTTCCTCTGTCTCCTGGCAGCCACTGATCTTGTTTACTTTCCCCATGGTTTTGGCTTTTTCGGAATTATTAAATTAGTTGGAATCATATAGTATGTGACCTTTTCAAATCAACTTCTTTAGCTTAGTAAAAGGCATATACGTTTCCTTTGTGTCTTTTCATGGCTTGATCGTGCTTTTCATTTCTTTTTAGTGCTCAGTAAAACTCCAGTGTCTGGATATATCACAATTTATTGCTTCACCCGCTGAAGGGCATCTTGGTTGCTTCTAAGTTTTGCAATTATGAATAAAGCTGCTATCAACAGTGATGTGTGGGTTTTTGTGTAGACATATGTTTTTAATTTCTTTAGGTAAATACTAAAGGTACGCTTGTCGAATGGTATATGTCGTTTTGTAAGAAACTACCAAACTGTCTTCCAAAGTGTTTGCACTAATTTCTCAGTTCCAACAACAATGAATGAGGGCTCCTGTTGCTCTACATTCTCACTAGCATTTCATGTTGCCGGTGTTCTGAATTTTGGCCATTCTGATAGGTGTGGTCTCCCATTGTTGTTTTAATTAGCAATTTCCTGATGACATGTGTTGTGGAGCATCTTTTGATATGTAGGTAAATCTTTTACAACATAATAGTGTCATGTCTCAACAAAACTCAAGTCTCAGTAAAAGAAAATGCCAAATTCCTTGACAAATGACTCAATATGATCTGTACCACTCTGAGGTCTCCTTTCTTATGACTCTCCCTTTTACTTATTTTCTCCAGGGACACTGTCCCCAAACCTACTAGGTATTATCCTACCTCCTCACCATGCTGTCCTCTTTGTCTGCAACACTCTTCCCTCAAATGTAAGTGTTGCTTCACTACCTCACCTCCTTTGAGTCTTTGTTCAAAAGTCAGCCCTTCAACAAGGCTCATCCTGATTCTTATACTTGAAATTGCAGCCTTTCTCAACCCTGGTAATTGCAGCCTTTCTCCACCTTCTTATCCAGACACATGTTTAATTTTCCCATATCACTCATTATTTTTTCCTATACCATACAGCTGAATTCTACTTATAGTCTGGTGTTTTCCTTCTTCTGCTAGAATGTAAATCCATAAGTGGAGTGATCATTGCTCTAAACTCTAGTGCCTAAGGCAGCTTTCCTGGTACCTGGTATATTTACACTAATTTTGTAAGTAATGTTTCCTAGTCCTAGAAATGCCCAAAAATAACAATGAAAATTTGATAAACAGGAGGACTTATGAAGGTGAGTGTGTATAAAGGTCAAGGCCAGCTGCCTTAGTGCTGTTGTCATAAACTCACTGATGAAAACAGTGTGAAGAAACGTGTGTTAATGTGCTGTATCCACTGATGAAAACAGTGTGAAGAAACATGTGTTAATGTGCTGTAATGTGCTATCAGATTTTATGCTCATGATGATTTAGTGACATGGCTATTCCTTACTTCAAGTTAAAGATGGTAGAAAGAACACATCTACCCCTTCAGGAACCCACTAAGATTATAGTAAGGGAATGAACATGTTTAATTCACAAAGACAGTGGTCCCAGGATGATAGTAAGAAGAAAGTTAGGTGTAAAATTTCATTATATGAAAAGATGAATAAGATGGACACATGTTTGTTATAATTGACTAAAGTTTCATGTTTCCCCACTTTGCTAAGCTCTTCAAAGAGGAAACAGAATAATCATGTGAATTCATGCTATAGCAATCCAGAAATGTCCGAGGATTTGAGGCAAGGGAGGTGATGTGAATTCTAAATATGATAATAAAGCTAATCTGCAGGAAGACAGTACTTCAGCAGCCCAGAGAAGAGCTAATTTCTGTCAGAGCATGACAACAAAGAACTGCAGGAAATAAGAGGAATAATTAAAGACAAAAATATAATGCAAATGTTGTATTCAATTAGTGATTGATAAATGGTAAACGATGAAAGTAAAAATACAGGTAATTATTAAATCTATGAAAAACAAAAGTTGGACTAACTTTTAAAAAAGGTTAAACTATGAATTTGTAAATAATTAATATTGCTTAAAATAGCTAAGCTATGAATGACATAAATAATATTGTTTACACTAATTAAAAATTTTAAATTAATATTTTTGTGTTATTCATATTGACACACTAGGCAGAGGGAAAGTATTTGCGAGGGAAAGTGGTAGGATACAGTAAGAAATATGACTGCTAATCTCAGATGGTGGAAAATCATTAATGTCTGAAATTAAGGAAAAAGTTAAATGATGGCAAAGCCTATCATTTCAGAATTAGATTATAAATATCTGAAACAAAACACTGAACGAGTTAAAAATAGTTTTCTCAAGAAATGAGATTTAGACATATGCAGGTGGGATAAGGTACGGCAGGAAAGTACTGATTTTTCATCCCACTTCCATAGTACTAGTGGACTCTTAAAACTAAATCTGTGTATTACTTTAATAAAAAGAAATATAAAATTAGACCAGTTCATGATTTGGCAAAGCTATAGCTTGCAAGTGCAAGCCAACAAAAGAAGCCATGTCACATAGAAATATAAAATGTTAAATCTAATGTCTTTAGTAATGGAGTTACAGAAATTTTATTTTATATATATATTTATGGATTTTCTAACTGTTTAACAATGTTTATATATAGCTTTTACAGTTGAAATGCTCACCAAACTTCTATTTTTAAAAGATAGACACAAAATATCTGTGTGTATGTGTCTATTTATCATCTATCTCTCAATCTATCTCATTCTATCTATTTATCTATCCTTCATCTATATCTATCTATCTATCTATCTACTTTTATTTAACAGAGGAGAAGATATGGAACACTGGAAGAGGATTTGACTTGCCCAGGGTGTATAGTTAATTTATATGGGAGGTAAAATTAGAAACTAGATATTTTGATTTTTCAATTCCTATACCAGATAATTTTACACTATATATTTCTGATTTCAAAAGTGATTATGAAAACAAAGATCAGAGTGTATAGTTTATAATTACACTTATCTCCAATAAGTAACTCTAAGAGAAAAGTTTGCATTTCTATCTTATGAGCTATGTATGTTAAACCATATATGTATGTTAAACTTGTTTCCATTTACAGAGCAGGTAGTGGTTATAATTAACACCTAGAAAAATGTAAGCTCATCTAGAAACAGGACTAATGATTTAGCAGCTGAATTTTGCCTAAGACATTAGTGAAAGAGTAAAAACAATCAGAATTTATTTTTAAGTGACCTGCATTTATGTGTCAGTGCAAGCGTAAAAAAAGTACCTGCTTGGTGTATGGTTGGTGGGTTTATTTCTGGGAGAAAGTGTGAGAATAGGGTGTAGGCAGGTGGGTAGGACCGGAAGAAAAATAGTTTATTTTCCCAGAAAATTATCTAATAAAGATCTCTTAACAAATATCTAGATCATATTTTTACTTAATATCAAAAAAACCAACTGAACAGAATCAAATGACTGTTTCTTGGTAACAAACTTTGTTCATATTATTTTTAGTGATACTGGATTTTCTTTCCACCAGTTTTTCTTTCAAACAGCAGGTGGATAATGGAAATTGCTCTGACCTCTAGACAGAGACTTAAAAGTTCTGTAGCAGGTACTCTTTATAGTCTACTGAATACCACTACAAATAACAAAATAATAATACTAATTTGAATTTTATAATTATCATAACATGTAAAATAATTTTAAAAAGATAAATCTGTGGGGTTTTTGGTTATCTTGTCTCTGAAAATCTTTGCTTGTATATGGATCTTTAGTATTCTATTTAAACTAGGTATCTTCATTTTTTAATTCTAATAGGACTGATTTTTTTTCTTCCCGTGGTAAAGAATGTTCTTTTTTTATATTTTTATTTATACTTGTTTGTGTGTGGGTGGGTCAGTGCCACAAGAAAGATGCAAAGATAGCACAGAAGTTATACTGGAAAATATAGTTTATTTAGAAAGTAAACGAGAGAAAGAGAGAGAGAGAGAGAGAGAGAGAGAGAGAGAGAGAGAGAGAGAGACAGAGAGAGAGAGATTCACCTCTCCAAGGCAAGGAAGGGTGGCCAAAACCAGGAAACATAGTGACGGCCATAGCTCAAAGAGCACATGGCCACACCAGCGTCTAGTAAGCCAGGGATCAGAATGTTCTCTTTTTAAATGAGGGGTTTGGGGCATATGT